CAGATTACTACCCCCCTGCTCTCTCTCGCAGGTGCTCTGCCCCTCACCGAAAGGTGGCTAGTTCAATTTCTGGCACGGTGGTTACGTTTTGACGGATAATGAAACTCTATAGGGGCTTGTGTACTGGAAATGTTAGTACACGTTAAATAACACGAGATAGTCGAAATTTCCGGAACCCTTCGCTTCGGTGCGCGTCATAATATTGTCATGATTTAGCACATCAGGTCCCTGATTTCAATATCCGGTTAGCCTGTTTATCTGTTGCGGAGTTTTCCGGCAACAAAGAATCTCTTTTTTTTCACACGTTTAGTGTTTTATTATTATTATTATTATTATTATTATTATTATTATTATTATTATTATTATTATTATTATTATTATTATTATTATTATTATTATTATTATTTATCATAGGTGGTTGTCCAAGCATTGCTTTAAGAAAGAGGTGACTTATGTCCGCTATAGTGCGGTACATTCTCGCTCCGACGGATGTTCTCACAAGATCGTGAGCCATGTGCGCAACACCAGCGTCTTGTCGCCCGACGTGTCGCCTTCTTTATTTCTAACTCGACTGACTAATTAGGTGATCGCGGCTGAATGCTGAGAGCATTGTGTAACCACGTGTTACGACGCAGTCGCCTCTCGTAGTTAACGCCCGCTAAAACGGCTCCCTCGTGAGGGCCTTTCGCCTGCCGCGGGGATTCCGATCTCATTAGCGTGGCGAGTGCTGGGGGCGATTAGTACTGGCCTCGCTCCCATTCTCACAGCTATTTAGGACCGCCCAAAATAAGTGCGCGCATCTATATGGCAAGGTCTTGGTAGCGGTTCTTAGCTCTTTATTCTCAATCAAATTCTGCATGTTCGCTGGTATCTGAAGATCATGCGCTGCGCTCATTTCTGACAATGAGTCTACGACTGCTGGGCCGAACCCCTTAAACTAAAAGCATGGCACTTCTAAAAAAATTAAACATTAGGTAGAATCAGGCACAACAGGCACTTTATTACAGTAGACATATACCAGACGGCACGCAAAAATATTGAGAGAAAACTTGCAACAGTTAAAGCGTCATAATTCATTATCGCTGCAGGGAGCAGAGAACATCAACAAGCTTACAAGACAGAAGCTTTCTTTGCACCTTCACTCTTTAGGATCAAAATTAATATTTAATACACAGCTGGTTATGCCGACTCATTAGAAACTTGTTTACACTCACACATAACTGTTGCAATTGAAACAACAGCAAAGGCTTTGACGGTGAAACTGTTCAATCAAATTTCTTTTTTTTTTTTTTTTGTAGAGTCGAGCAATAGCGAACTTATTTAACTGGCATTCATAGCAAGACAACAGGCGCCTAGCGGGAGCAGTTGCAAGCTCGAACTACAAGCCTTCACAATACCCGTGGCCCCGCCAGGAACACGTGCGACTCGTTAAAAAAATGGCTGGTGGGCTCGTAGTTAGACTAGATGAGGGTATTGCAAACACGGAGGCTATGTGCGCGTATTGTGGGCCTTGCGTGAGGTACACCTTAAACTCGCGCCGGGGTGAACACCTCTTCCTTGACTGCGAACTTATACTGCTTCGAGTTCAGTATTATTGCCTTTTCTATCTATCTCGATAAATACAAAATCAAACTGGATGAGCAGCACCTTTCGCCTAGCGTCAGAAGCTCAACTCCCAGCTTCCAGATGAACTCGTTTTGTCGGCCATGTCATCTTTCCTATTGATATTTGAGCAGTTCGTTCTTTGCATAGAGTTTCCTAAAGTCGACTAGAGGGGACTCTGGCGCTGCGATGGTTCAGCAACCATGAGAATGATGGGTAGTACACAGATTTGTCTATAGTCTTCGTATTTGCGGGCGGAGAATCGTACTTGTGGCTTCGTTTATTGCTGTGTTTTGGTTTTCTTTCGAAGGAAAATACGGACCCTTCTTGAACTTCGTGACCCGACTTCAAGGGGCAGGCCTGAAAGATTAAGGAAGGTGGTGAAGCGCGACTTCTGACCGTTCACTGATTTTCTTTTTTTTTTTTTTTCGTGTCAAAGCAGTTTCAAGTCACGTGAAGTCAAAAGGAACGTGAAGTACGAAGAGTAGGCAAATCCGTGTAGTACACATAATTGCCATTGTCGCTAAAGCGCCACGCATTGCAGCTCCCAGCGACACTAGCGCCACAGCTCCCTCTAGAGTATACATAAAAAACTCTTTTCTTAATACTCGACAACGTGCAAAACAAGCATTCGACTACCGTGAAGTCAGCCAGAGCTGTTTAATTGGCAAACGCTTCATTAAGTTAGCTTGCATTAGTGCGGCACACATCTAAAAGGAAAAGAGAACACAGATGTCAAGAAAGCTAGGTGCTAAACACAATGCTCTCAGCATTTTAGCGCCTACCTTTCTTGACGTGCGTGTCGTCTTTTTCTTTTTTTTTTTCCTTTTCAGATCTAAACTCTTCAAATATTCTTTTTCCCCGCACCATAGAAGAATGGAAACTAATACCTTTCGATCATCTGGACTCGACTGAATCAATACAGAATTACTTCTTCACCATTATCTAATTATATTTGATTTAGAGTTGTTTTTTTATCGTTACTTGACTTGTTTATGATGCTCAATTGTGCTATTTACATGTATTTATGTTGTACCCTGCCCCTCCTGCATGGGCCAGATGGCCTGCAGTATTTTCTAAATAAAAAAATAAAAAATACGTGCCGCTCTAATACAAGCTAAGTTCATGGTTTACCAACTCGCCCGAGCCACACCACTTTTGAGCTTTGTTGAGATAGAGCGGCACTCAGCTAGAGGTCTCTGCCTCCCCAAGCTATTTCTCACCATCTTCGCAAAGTCGCGGACGTAATACGATAGGCGCTGCGAGCTGTTGCCAAAGCGCAGTGACACGGCCACGCCGCGACTCGCAGAAGATCTGGATGGCAGCGTCAGGTCCGTCACGACCGACTGCGGCCGCACAACCCGATATTTTAATGCGTGTCTCGTTTTGTCGAAGTCTTCTTTTTGATGTATTTCTTTCACCCGCCGGGTGCACTATATCGCTCGTGCAACCACTTGCGCAAAGAGAGTCGTCACGCGGCGAAAATCGTTGTCGGACGACACCCCTGGGAACAGGGGTGCCTCGGTGTTCTCGATGGAATCCTCTGGGGCCGTGGCGAGGCTTTGATGGTATAGCGTCGCACTTGACCTTTTTGCGCGCCTCTGTTTATCGCGTAGCGTTCGTGAGGACAAGCAGGCACTTTTTTTTTTCTTCTGCAGCTGCTATATATACTCTTTCACAAGCCGATGCCCTACTCTGGCTGAGTCGATGGAAAGCTGTCGGGCACACTCTGGGCGTCGTGCTGGCTGCAACGTGGCGTCTGATGTAACTCGGTCTTCTGGTATTTGGTAGTGGCTTGCGAAAGTAAAACTAAGCCTGGCGAGTGAAGGCCCGAATGCAGAGCATTTGTTTGTTACTATTGGCGCTTAAGAAAGCAAATAATGGGTTTAACAGTAATGATAACTAACAGACAATGACGCCAAGAGACGCAAAGGGAATGTTATTAGAAGTGATTGCGGTGTAAATGTGATGAAAAAAAGTGGATGAAAAGGTAACTTGCCACCGGCGTGATCCGAATGAGCTTGTGTGAATGCGCTTGTGTGAAACACTTGAGCCGAAGTTTGCAGCAAACGTCATTATTTCGATGGCAGCGCCATCTATTGCGACTGTGATGTTGACTATGTCGTTAAGAATCATCGTCTGCTATTCGTCTTTTCGCAATACTGACGACGTGCTTTGGCCAAACTTCCACAGGCTTTTCAAATGCGTAGAGATGTGTCAGCATTTTTCTTCGCAATGACATTGCGAGGGCATTGCGAATATGTATGTGGCTTTGACTTGAACATGAAATTTTAAAAAATCTAACCGTAGTTGTAACATGCCTCTTTAAGACATACCTCAACGTAAAGGCCGAATAGGCAGCGTAAGCGGAATTGAGCCATCTACAAGAATCATTTCAGGGCTTTGTGTTCAGAGGAGGCATCGTTCTCTGAGCGGCTGAGAAGTCCAATGTTTTTTATAATGTTCCGCTCACTGCGTGCGCTTCTTCTTCTTCTTTTTTTTTTTTGTCGCCATCTAAGTGCGCTTAGTGATTATGCATTGAAAAACGTTCATAACGTTATCTTCTTTAATGACTCTTGCTGAAAGAAGGCGTAGGGATGAGGAAACTTGCGGCATTTTCCAACTTTCATCCTTCTCGTCCTCTTGAGCCATCAGTATATATACCGATAGATTGCGTTGCCGGAGGTATTAGAAATACACGATGCATACACGCCAACGGCCGTAAGACACTCTCGAGGACCTGTAATGTGCGCCTCCTTCGTAAGAACCTTCCCTCTCCTAAACCTGCTTATGTGTGGTCTCGCTTATACTCCGGAAATTACATCATGTTTCGTGGGGTCAATGTAAGTTCTGGTGTCATATATTATAGCGCTGAAATTAAGGTATATAATTGATTCTCGCTTTACAAGCGCACATGAATGTAGTCAGTTTTAATAATGAAATAGCCCTTGAGAAGTGGCCGTTGCAAAATTACTGTGAGGGCTGCACACGTCCAAATCCCCTGTGTGCTATTTTCATAACTATTACTCGCTTTTGTAGCCGTCTTCTGAATTCGTGAGTGACGCTCCCGGGGTGTTTCTATTCTCCGGGTGGTGTCTTTCACTGATGAGCGTTGCGTATGCAGGATCTACATTTTTGGCTGCCTGGAACTCAAAAGGACCGAAGTCGAAAAGGGCTAGGGGTTGCTGCACAGCAGGGCTGTCATTTGTTTGTCTTTCTTTGAGGGTTTTGCAAGACATATTTGCGATTCATGCTTCAACTAACTGAAGATCGTCCACCAGAACATATGCTAGGAACGATGTTTCATCTGTTTTTGTCGTAATTTTTGACATACATATTTATTAGCAGATATCTTTCTGAACTGAAAGCACCTGCTAATTGCACTTGCCTTCTTTTAGGGCTCATTGTTTTCTGCATCGCCTTCGGCATCATTGCGGGCCAGATGGGACCCGATGCGGAACTTATGGTGCAGTTTTTCAGCAGTCTGAACGAAATCATCATGAAGATCGTCGTCCTGGTCATGTGGTACGTTTCTTGTTACATGCACTGTGCCTTTCTTTCATAGCAGGAAAAAAAAACATGCTCGTTACTTCGCGTCATTGTGCGTCCTTATTGTAACGATTAAACGGTGAGTGCGCTGAAATTATAATCTTGCGAGAAATCGCAGCACCTTGTACCATTTCGTGAAAGCCTGAGAGTTTTGCGTGATGAACTTCACTAATAAAGTCAAACAACAACATTCGCAGGCTACGTTTGCGTATCTGGGGCAGGGGCGTAGGCAGAATTCTTTTCGGTGTGGGGCAGGGGGGGGGGGGACCTTCTTGATCTTTAGGGGGAGGGGCAGGGGTACGGAGTGTCATTCCTGGGCTACGCCGCTGATCTGGTGAGATGAACTGTGAGGAAAGCGTGCATTTGTGACTTTCGCAATGTGGCCCTTACTTGCCTGATTTTCCTCCTAAATTACAAATATCTGAAATTGATAGTTTGAAGGTATTTATGCTCGTTACACCGATCAGTTTGGAATGCCAAGTTCACCGTGTTGTGTAGCCTTTCAGATTAAATCTTATTTTTTACGAGATGCCGGTAGCGCTGCACAAAGAGAGCAGGACCGCAGTGTGTCAAGCCTTTTAATTTTTCGGTGCATGCTACTGTTGAACTTCTCCTTGCGATACTCCACCCACCATTCGTGAAATGCAGATGAACCACAATCACCCACGCGTTCATTCGTTAAAGTTATTCGTTACAAATTATTGAGTCACAAAGACCAATGTCACAAGTCCAAGGTAAGCAGACACTTCCACCGTCTCCGAAGTAACGAAGGTTAACCGACAATCAACTAAAACCCTGACTATCAAGATCATGTTATTTGTTCAATAACCGAATTTGCTGTTTACCTTCACGGCACAGTGTGTAGCTGCTTACATTTTATATTACCCATGGTCTAGCGCATACAGTATGCGCATTTCATTGCTACCTGACACGACTTTACTTTCTTTATCCATCGACTTGCTTCAGTTAATTCACCTTCCGCCACTTCGGTAAAGCCCGAAGGCGTGCTTTCCTCACAGATGCTCCTGTTTTGCCGCAAATGAAATTGGGTAGTGTATGGCACAGCAAATATATCTTCAGTGTGGACACTTTACTCGTTCTTCCCTCAGGGAGTGCAAAATGTCGTGCAGGTACTCCCCGTTCGGTATCATGTCTCTGATCATCGGCAAGATCATGTCGATCAAGGACTTGGCGCTGACAGCGCAGCAGCTCGGTCTCTACATGTTGACCGTCATCACGGGCCTCCTCATCCACGCCTGTATAACGTTACCGCTGATTTACTTCCTGATCACCCGCAAGAACCCGATCACCTTCTTCAAGGGCATGCTCCAGGCTTGGATCACTGCGCTGGGCACAGCATCCAGGTGAGTGCTAGCATCTCCGGGGGCTATTTCTGTGATGACGAGAGAGAAATGCTCAGTGAATAACTATACATTGAAGAAGAATGGCTATTTGGGCTAGTTGGTTTGAATTCATGGTAATAAGGGCTGCAGCGCGAGCACGAAGGTGCTAGAAGAAACAGACGAAAGGCGAAGCACGGAAGGCAAAGAGGACAACGTGTTGTCCTCTTTGCCTTCCGTGCCTCGCCTTTCGTCTGTTTCTTCTAGCACCTTCGTGCTCGCGCTGCATCCCTTATTACCATGAATAACTATACAGCTGAAATGAGCACGTGAGTGACAAGATAGACGTTTTATTTTTTGTTTCTTTTTATCAAGGGTCGCCGGGTTTCTTTAGAGGAGCCCTGCAATTCTTTTTGAGCACGGTTGAAAAAAACGCTGCCGATTGGTGGCCAAGGCTTCCGAGAATATGTGAGCCAGTTAATACAGCGCAGCACGCGCCCTGCAATTCACAATAAATTCTCAAATTCAACTAAAAATTGCTCTCTTCGTCGAGGAAATGACGCCACTAGGTCGAAAATCACTCGTCACAGCTATTGTATCAGCCATTGGCTGATTTGAGCATCGCGTGCTCGGTCGTTACCGGGGCTACCGCGGAAGTCCCCGACTTGGCCACGTGACTGCACTGCAAACGCGCGCATTAGAAAAAAAAAAGCAGGAAATGTGCTCAAGGTCACTAAGCGCGCATGACGTATTTTCTTCACCCGTGCCATCCCCTCCTGTCTAGCTTCCAGTGCTTTCATAGGGGCGAGATAATGAAATCCCAGCACGCGACATATTTTAACTTCACTCGTACAGGACGGATTCTAAAGAAATTTTTTTTTGTGGCAGCGAATTCGCATAGCAATAACCTCCTTTTGTTGATCTATTCCATGGCTAGTTGAAAAGGTGCTGCAGTGCCCCTTCAAGTAGCGACTCGAGCATGTCTTGTCTTTGTCCAACTGCTTTCATTGGCTGGTGACTACATTCATGTCGCTCAAGAGAAGTGACTTCAGAAAAAAGACTTCGAGGGCGCTTCAGCGCCGCCTTTAAGAGTAGATTGCGATAGCGTAATCAGGCGTAGTGCGCATCGCCTTCTTAATCGCTAGCCTGGCTTCGGTTCTCGGCACTTGCTTCAACCGTGCAGAAAAAAAAAAACGAACGACTGCGCGCGTGAGATTGGCCGTTTCAAACTACCTAAAAATGTCCACTGCCAGTACAGTTGTGAAGTGCTCACTTCGCAATAATTATTCTTCTGGCGAATCCCGGCTGCGGCGGCTGCATTTCCGATGGAGGCGGAAATGTCGTAGGCCCGTGTGCTCAGATTTGGGTGCACGTTAAAGAACCTTAGGTGGTCAAAATTTCCGGAGCCCTCCACTACGGCGTCTCTTATAATCATATGGTGGTTTTGGGACGTTAAACCGCACAAATCATCATCATATTCTTCTGGCGGATCATCGATGGGCCCGCCATGCATCCGTAATGAATCCGTAATGCATCCGTAAGGCGTGGACCTGCGCAGTGGTTCATTTTGTTGACGCTTTTGCGGACGACGATGGCTTAGTATACGTCGGAGTGCTTTGTAATCGGTGGGACTTTGAGACCCTCACTCGTTGCGCAATTCACATGTTTTGACGCCCGGCGGTATTGTACGCTTCTGCCACGCAAAATTACGTGCGTTAAGAAGACTCGTTTCACTACATCACAATCGTATAGTGTTTTTTTTTTTCTCAATGCAGTTCTGAAGCAACGACTTGGCTTGGTGATAAACTAACTGCTTGCCACGCAGAAAGCCTGAAATCGATTCTCATTCGGGGCCGAATATTTTTGTAATATTTACTTTATTTGTGTCTTTTTGAATTTTTGCTAACGGACTGAATGATGATGTCTCGCTCACAATCAACGACGCGGTCACCGACCCGCCGATGCGGGAATTTCTGAGAAAAAAGTTCCTCATTCTATTAATATTTTTATTATTATTAATATTATTATTATTATTTATTTATTCATTTATTTATTTCTGCCTAAGAAAATACACTGACAGGGGAGCTGCAGAAAAAGCTGTAGTAGACAGCTTGACCGAGCCACAGCCCCTAAATACAAGGCAACAGCGAAGGCACTTGAAAATTCAGTTGAAAGCGTACATAGAATTTCATGGTTCAAAGTATACATAACATACATAAACTACATGTAAACACTGCACATCAAAACACACAAGAAATGAACAGACAGGGTGTTGTTTACACTTTCTACACACAACGCGAATTTATCAATTGCTTCTTCAATATAATAGTAATTATAATAATTCTAATAACAAAAATAACACAGTTCAAAGACCATCCTGTATCAAATATGAGCACAAATAAAAATACAGATAGAAATCTATTTTGACATCCATTTCGGATTTTAACAAACCTAAATTATATGCGGTGGTACATCTTTATACATAGGACGAAGGTTTTTAATGGTGCAGGTAAATAGGTCAGTTCTAATCGCACTAAAACGCTGCTTCACAGAACTCCTCCCTTTGTTTTTTTTTTGTTTTTTTACGCCTTCCCCTCTGACAGTGCGGCCACGCTGCCGGTGACCTTCCGGTGCCTGGAAGAGAACAACCACATCGACAAGCGGGTGACCCGGTTCGTGCTGCCCGTCGGCGCAACCGTCAACATGGACGGCACGGCGCTCTACGAAGCCGTCGCCGCCATCTTCATCGCGCAGATGAACGGCATCAACCTCTCCATCGGAGAGGTCATCGCCGTCAGGTGAGCTCGTCGATTGGTGGACCACGCCTTTTCCCCGTTTCTTGAAACGAATTCATGCGGGAATGTCGGGAGGATAGCACTGGTGTGACATATGTTCAAGCATATGTATAATCATATGTATAATATACCTATTTATGTATATATTAGAGAGATTTAGTACTGCGTACGCTGCGTACGTGGCGGCGTTGCGTACGTAAGGACGCCACGTTCTGCGTAGTGCGCATGCGCAGACCGCAACGCGCACGTATCGCATTACGTACGCAGCCGCTACGTACGCACGCATGATATGCGTGCGTGCGTACGTATGAGATGATCGCGCCGCTCTCAAACAAGTTCGCGACAGCGCGAGACTTCGTTTTGCAAAATGGCGGCATCGAAGACTAGCACCGACCGGCTCTGTGGCTTAAAATATGGCCATAATCTGGCTATAACACTTGGATTGGCTCAGATTGGCTGTCAACAACACGTGCTTCTATTTTGATCTACCAGATGGCGCAACACGCTTCATGCTCGTTACGTACGCGGGTACTACGGCGTACTAAAAGCCCATTAGTGGCAAACGACGCCACGTAACGCAAGGCGCTTGCGTGATGCGTACGTAGCACCATTCCGCAGTACTAAATATCTCTATTATGTAAACGTACGTATAATATGTATAATGTATATTTGTGCCTTAGTGCATTATAAGATTGTATAGATATGTACGCACAGGCGATATTGTCTCCCTACCAAAGGAAAAGTTTGCAGACAAGTCAAGCTCTTCAAGGGCAACATTTATTCTATAATTCCACATATCTCTCTATGTACAGAATGTCACAATAAAACATTTCAATATTAAGTGATTCTGCAGACTTTAGAACAAACTACGTACCTTACTCTGGGACAAAGTTGCAACCAGTGTGTGCTCGTGATTGTGTGTACCTTCTCATCTTTCTGCAACCTCTTTTCTCCCCTTTATCCCTTCCCCAGTGCAGGGTAGCAAACCGGATGTGCGTCTGGTTAACCTCCCTGCCTTTCCTTGCATCTTTATCTCTGTCTCTCTCTGCAACCAGTGAAAATGACTCTCTGAGTACTGGGAATCGTCTCCCGTCATGCTGTACGTGACACGACGAATACATTGCTGTCCATCGGATTTGTCCTCGAGAACTTGTTAAGCTACGCTCCTGCGAGGAGCAACAGTTGAAGCAAAATGAGAGCGAACCGAAGGAATACCACGAAAATACGAGTAGTCACTCGACTGGTTCTAATTCTACTAGCGCTTCCTCGACGTTGGGTAATTCAGAGAGTTGACTTGGTGGTGAGGTTGCAATTACCATAACAATGTTTCTTGAATACTTAATTTTTTAAAACTGTGCAATATCCTTCCTATTCTGCCCAGCATTTCGAAAGAGATTTGTTTGGTTTGCGCATGAAAAAGTCATCGCGCATCTTATACAAACTTCACAGCAGTCTGTTGTATCACCAGATATACCAGACTGGTGTGATGCGAACAAAGGATATGTTTCATTTAAGAGAGACAGAGGTTGCGAACGAAATGTATTGCTACCCTACACGCGGGAACAGGATATGGGAGATTCAAAGATGTAGAGGAAAGAGAAAGAAGGAATAGCACATCACAATGCACACACAAGCACACAGCCACAGTCAATCACTCTGGATGTGATAGTTATGTCGTTTTTTCCCGTTCCACTAAAGTTTTTATAGGCTGAACTATGAATTAGCAGGAAATGTCAGTGCTCAGTCATGGTCCAAATCGCGGATAGGGACATATTATCGTGAATAGGGAATATCATCGCGAATAGGAAATATAATCGCGAATAGGGAATAGGGACCTAAATCGCGAATAGGGAATATAATCGCGAATAGGGAACCGCGAAAAGGGACAACTAGCCCCTGCACACTGAAAATGTGCGTGGGAACAGGGCTTCATTCCGCTCAGCTTGTTTGGCACGTCTTGTCTCTCTGCAGTTTGACGGCCACGGCTGCCAGTATTGGCGCAGCCAGTGTGCCCAGCGCGGGTCTCGTTACCATGCTGCTGGTGCTGACGTCCGTGGGTCTGCCCACGGAAGACATTTCCATGATTGTCGCCGTCGACTGGATGCTGTGAGTGTTTGTTTGACACCCTTCATAGACAGAAAAAGAGAGCATGGATTATTTACGAAGTTTACACAGCATCCCCACACAATTTTACTGGTGCGAAAGCACACCTACCATACCATCGCTATATATTTTAAGTGCTCGAAGAACACGAGGCCATGGTGGAGGTGTGGGCAGTCATGGCAATGCAACAAGCCATCAAAGTGCAGTTGAACACTGACAGTGTATAATAAGGATGCACAGAATGGTACATTGGGCCTATGTAAATATCACATGTCCTACCCCAAATTGGACCTATAGGAGTGACCGTGTAGAACTTTTTGACCACTCATAATCCTAGTTGGGCATGGGCGAGAATCGATCTGGCCAACGCCCTAGAGTGGTTAACGTGTTCTTGACGATACCTTTGAAACTTGGCTCTTTAGTGTGTTTTAACACAGTACTAGGTTGTTTGGTGGTGGCAAACCGAGCCTCGATTTTGTCTCAAATATGGAAACGTCAATTGGAACGTTTCGCTTCAAGGGCCTTCTTTTTTCTCGACTCAGATGCCGAAATGTGGCTCGGAAATCATCAAATGTGTTCCATAACTCATTATAGCGTGCAATGTTTCATTAATTGATGTAGTCAAAAAGAACATGACATGTCCAGTGGTGGGCATGGAGTAAGGGGTCTTCATAATACTAGTTCGCATAACACTAGAAGCTACTGTAACCACCTGACCACTACTTGGCCTCATTTCAGTTGTGCTCCGAGATAACCGCCGTGCCCACTAAAGCGTAACATGGCATCATGTTCAATTCCATGTAGCCCTTAGCTTCGTTTCAAATAGCAGAATGTGTAATTTATTTCGGTGCCTCTCTTGTCCCAATGGTTCATACGTAACACTTCTTTAGTTCGTTTTATAGTGGCGCTCCCGAGTTCTATAGCATTTTTGTTTGCTTGTTTGTTTGTGTGTGCGTATGGGTTTATTGTCTTTCTTTGTCTGCATGGCACATATTTTTCTTCTTTTTTACCTCTCCCCTACCTTTTCTCCTAGTGCCCCGCGGAAGCCATCTGGAAGGTTCTGACGAATATTTTTCGGTTAACGTCATCATGTTTCTTATCTTATTCATTCATATGTCGCGTTCTCATGGCCCTATGAAAAGGTGTACAAGAATAAGAGATTATCGAATCTAGCAATTTGCTGATCGATGAGTCTGTTGTGGGCCATAATCGGTAACGTTGGCGAACGAGTAGACCAACAACATGCAGGGGTCAAGCGACCGTGATGCCTGCCTAAAAACGATTGGACCCCAATTGCATCTGCAACTCAAATCAATGGCTATTCTGCGATTAGACGAACAATTTCTTCTTTTGCACTTTATGTCACTACATACTTGAGATGTCCAATAAGCAACCATATCGGCAACAAAGATGTCCAGCCCCGTGCCCTGATCCCGCAAAATGTCAATAATGTAGGCTTGATTGGATGGTAGAATGAACGCATTTCGCGGCATTCCAGCTACAAAGAACTAGCTTCAGCTTGAAACTCAGAAGAAGGCCATTTTTGTATAAAAAGCAGGACAAGCCTTAGGACATCTAATCGTCAAGAACTGTAAACTTTGTAGAGCTGCAGTGACGTCACATTAAACATTCACGATGCGCTTTGTGAGGCGCGGCTTGACAGTACTCTCACCTGGCCGACCAGGTTGGAACGGCAGCTAAGGCTGAGAGAGGCCTCGGCTAAAGCTTCCTTTACGAAATAAGTTGTCTCATTACAATTTTAAGTACTGTTTTTTCCATTTAACACTTATCCCTGCTTATATTTAATTTTGTACACCGGTATCCGTTGAATTTACGCGTTCTTGAATCTGCAAAATGGACTGGCGAAACTTTATCAAGCTCCCGCTGTGCCATACAATCGCCTCAAAAAGCTCCAAGTTTTTCTCGTGCGTTCCTTGCACTTTATCGGCAAATTTAATTTCGCCACCATGAATGGCTTCCTCAATAAATGTTCGTTTGGATTCACAGCGGACACTTGTGACGTACTCTTGAAGGAAGCGGATCGAGGGTGGTCCTCGCTAAACGTGTTTCAGAATAATTGATTGATTGTTTGATTGATTTGTAGCGTACTCGCCCCACGGAGGCGCGAAGAGAAGGCACCTACACTCCTTGAAGTTTGGGACAAGACTAGTTTATTTTCCCGGAAAAACAGGCTTCGAAAGCGACAACCAAAAGGGGCGTGGCTGCGTATCTTCCGCGGCCCTCCGAAGATAACGTGAGGCATGTTGGCCGCGTCTGCGCCGTGCGCCTCGATTGATTGATTGATTGATTGATTGATTGATTGATTGATTGATTGGTTTGCGGGGTTTAACGTGCCAAAGCCACCATACGATTATGAGAGACGTCGTAGTGGACGGCTCCGGAACTTTTGACCACCTGGGGTTCTTTAACGTGCACCCGAACCTGAGCACACGGGCCTACAACATTCCCGCCTCCATCGGAAATGCAGCCGCCGCAGCCGGGATTTGATCCCGCGCCCCGCGGGTCAGCAGCCGGGTACCTTAGCCACTAGACCACCGCGGCGGGGCTGTTTCGGAATAACGTTACGATGTGTAGGTGTACAGGCTGCACATAGGTATAGGCGTTTTGAGCGGACGCTCGGCGCCGACATTTATTTATTTATTTATTTATTTATTTATTTATTTATTTATTTATTCATTCATTCATTCATTTATTTATTTACATTTCACCTACATCGCCGTGAGGCATCACGTAGCGGAGGTACACATAATAATTTAACTGCATAGTTTTCAATCAAAACAATAGATTCAACAAATAAACCAGCACTAAAAATATTTTAAGAGAAAAAAAACACACGAATATTGGTGAGTGAAAACAACGTCACAGTCATGCCTTTCAAACACGCACACGCTTCGAGACAGCAAACCATTCTTAGTGGCAGTGATATTGTAGGAGTTGTTACAATGAAGAAAAAAAGGATTCATTATCAGTTTCACTGACGAGATCATCCGGTAGACGGTTCCATTCCTGTATTGTTTTTACGAAAAAAGAACTACCGAACTACCGAAACATTCACTGCATCATCTTGAAGTATTGTCGCTTTCACTGTAAAAACAACTTCTTTTCCATTTCACGAGAAGAAAACGAAGAACAGTGCATGAGTTGGTTGTTTGCCATGGGCTGACTCGCTGCGATGAGTGACAACACCTTGCTTTTCGCTGTCTTTCGGCGCCCGGACGGCGGGAGGCAGACGGGCAGAAGTCCAATGACGTCTGCCGTGTTGGCACTGCCTACATCGGCATTCAGCACATCTGCCCTACGGATAAGCTTGACGACAGGCTTTCGCGGAGATGTAATACATCTTCTTAGTGATGTGTCAGTCCCTGACGGCTGGGGTCTAGATGTGCTGACATTCACTATTCCTGCATCGTTGCAGAGTATTGGCCCCTCCAACAGCTATCGCATTATCGGGACAATGAACACGAGCCGAAGTCGATACTTAATGCGCGATTTCATAAGTAAACTGTTCAGTGGTGCCATTGTCGACGGCGAGAAAATTGCACGTCACAACACACAGATAGCGACGATGTCAGGCTTCGCGTTTTCAAATTTCATTTGTGGCTCAGAGGTCTGTGAAAACGTATGTAAAAGCTAAACAATGCGTATCTATGCGATGTAAATGCGATACGCTTACGAGACACACCGTACGGTCCGCTTCAGAATGATATGTCTCGCATGCAGACTGGTAAAGTGGTCCAGAACCTAATTAACACGGATGTGCTTGTACTTCGCCCCCTATTCCCGCTCCCCCTCCTTCTCATTTATACGCGGCCACCGAAGTCCGGAAATAAACGTGCACTCTCGAGCTTAGCGACGCTACACGTAACCATTGAAGATACCACATTGGCGAGGATAGTTTTGTGTCAAGCGAGCATTGTGGCTGTTTTACAGCGAAATCGGTTTTGAGATCACAACATGGGTAGCGTGTGCCGTAGTTGTACGCCGCCGCTACCGCCGATGTCTTTAACCACTAATTCGCAAAGGGATAAAAAACTGAGTAAATGAAGAAACATCAACAACACAATAGTATTCTTACCCGGGTTCCCAGCGTGCCAGCCCAGTATTCCTCCGCTGTGCCACGGCGGCGCTAGGAACTCCGCGGCGAACTGACCCTAGCCAGGCGTCATGTCGGGAAAGAAATCGTATTAATGTGTGCGATAAAGCATTTAGAGCAGCAAAGGAAGAGCCAGGCGTCACACAATGCGAACTGCGCAACGAGTGGGCCATCGAATGGTACGACCCATTACAATGGCGCAAGGCATAATTCCTCATCGTCGTCAGCCTCAGCAGAAAAATTGCACGAAATTTCTTCCGAGAGTGTAACGGGTATCACACTTCACCGAGAGATATCGAAGGATGGCACAGTGAATTTCTGCACGAAATTTATGATAGCTTATGGCGTAGTCGGTACCTAGCAAGATTCGTTGTAATAAATACCCATAAAGTGTTTTAAAAAGTTGCTCTTCCAGCTTTTTGCTGTGAATTTTCTGCGCCTTCCGCGCAAGCTCGGTGGTTTTTTTACAATGCTGCAATTATGTCAAAAGGAAAAACCGCTTTTAAAGTACTCAATTGTGCATTTTAGCGCGCCATTCTACCTTGCTACTGGATAGTATAGCGAATACGGAGATTCACGAGCTGTGTTGTACCCCGGTGGCACGGCTTTCACAGAGGATGTCTGCCATGACAAAAATCTTTTAAAAACCCAGAGTGCTCCGGCAACATTTTTTCCCTTCCCTCTCTTCTCGTTTCTGCCGTGAGCCAGAAACTACGAGCCTCTGGTCCAGATCCTCCCTCGGGTGTCTTCCGCGCTTGCGCTCATTTAGAGTGTCAGACGGTCTTTACCATCCATCAGGCCCGCCCTGTCTTTGTCGCTTGAAGGCCGAAGTCGTTGGCAGCACTCTTTGTTTGCAGAACGAGATGCGCAACGTCGCGACCACACACGGCCTACTTTCACAACGCGCCACGTGACCCTTACCGTAACCGCGCGCACTTCCCCGGGATGACGTGGAAGGCTACGTCAGTCAAGTTGACGAAGCCCGGGACGGTGTTCCGCTGCTCAAAAGATCAGTGCTCGCTCTTTATTTTTGGTCCACAAGGGAGGCCTCGGTACCTATAGAAGAACACCGCCAAAATAGCTGATTAGCGAAACCGCGGAAGCAGGTTACATTACAGAAACCGTCGCCCGCTTGCATTGTGTACCCAGACAATCGCTCCGCAGGGTCGGGCGCCAAGCCGCGTACCGTAGCTTGGCCTTCTAAGCGCCACCAGCACTATCTGCGGTGTACCTTTGTCTCCGAGTGATCCGTCTTCCCTTTCTTTACTAGTGTTGGCTCCTCGCAGCCTTCCTTTCGTCTTCTGACATTTTCTCGCCGCTGCGACTGTGCCTCGCCGCGGGGAGAGCGTCTGGATGCACTTGTGAACGAGGACACAAAGAAGCAAGGCCTGGTCGCGTTCCAAAGTTTGTTTTTAGAAATACGCCAGGTTCTCGCAGGAGTCCCGCCCTTTCCCTCTAGGGCGTCCGCGCGGATACCTCTTTGAACCCGTGTACGCCGCAACTGCCCTCTCCCTCCCTTATCCCATTTCAGCGGGCGCCTCGCAAGTCCAGAGCGTCTCCGCTGTGTAGACGCTGCCACGGCCGTGCTAGAGGAGCGGCAGGCGCGCGCTAGTGCCGCTCCTCTAGTCCAGCCGTGACGCTACTCGGCCATCACTGTTTCGCGGAAGCAACTGGAGAACTCGAGCCCCAGGTTTCGTGAACTCTACCCGCAACAAAACGCACGCTTCTTTGTTGTTGTTTTTTTTGTTTTCGTTCTTCGAAACAAAGGGACCCGCGGTGTGCTCATCTAGAGGCCGTGGGTCCGTATCCACAAAAATATATCTTGTTCAATGAAACTTGCGCTTGCAATATGTGGTGATGTTGCGCCCTTTGCGAAGCCGAGTGGCTGACAGTCAAAGGTATTCAGGAAGCAAATTCTCCATGCATCAAGAGAGAGATGCACAGCTTTATCACTTCACTCACATATTGCTACGTGTATCAATGTATTTCCCGCATTCCTGTGGGCGTTTTCGTTAGTACATTGGTCGGTATTATTCTTCATTTCACGATGCACTCTTCAATACGATTATTCCTCAAACTCTTGAAGGCCGCCATGGAGGACAAGACGTGCGCACCAACAATCAAGAGAAAGAGGTGTCCCTACTTTAGTGCTTCAATATCTGTAATACATCTGGAAAGTTTTGGGCCAATCAACGCAAACAAAAGCCAGTGTATACTTTTTATGGTTCCGCAAATCGGAAAAGGTTTCTTGCAGTAAGTGTTTGAAATACGCACTAGGAACAGGATGATGCTATCGCGTTCAACTCCTGAAAGCGAAGCTTTAGGGTCGCCTCATTTTTTTTTTTTTTATGGAGAACCACTTTATACAAGGTAAAGTGGGTGTCTGGGTGAATTGATAAGTCATACGAGAAATCAGAGCAGTTTTCCTTTTTATACTCGTGCTTTCTCTTTCGCGCTCTTTTGATTTCGTTCATGCAAGACAATGTAGTATCAGGTAACTGACTGGACAATATCTCGTGCATAGGGGACTAAATAGGCCCATGACGATGTTCAAGAGGTAAAGGTTATGAATCCTAGCAGCGCAATCGGTCGCACGGTGGATATTAGAGATGCTAATGCGTATGGTGTTCAAGAGCTAGAATGTGCAAACATTAGGAGGCCACTTTGTCCTGCATCATGATCATTCTATTGGTGATGTTCAGGACGCAGAGTGTGCAAACACCGGTTGCACAATTTGTCCCGCGTTTGATGTTAGGCTAACAATGATGTTTAAGAAGTAGAGCGTTAATGCGAGCGGGGAGGGCAACATGCCCTGCCTTGGATACTAGATAGGTTGATAGTGAAGTCCTGTAGCTGGAATGTGCAAACACTTGAAGGGCGATTTATTCCGCTGTGGATATTAGGTGGGCTGATTAATATGTTCAAGATGCTTAGCGGGCAAACAGTGGCAGGGCGATTAGTTCAGAACTAGATTTTGGATGAAGTAGCCGTGATTTTCAAGAGACAGAGGGTGCACACACTAGAGACGATGGTCTTATACCGCAAACGCCATGCCTGGGTCATTTACTTTACTTCACGACTAGCTAGTTCAACTATAGTGTACTAGTCCGACCAGCTGGTTCAATTACAAGCTGGTTCAACTTCTGCGCTTCAGAATCAGAATTATCAATATGTTGATTTAAGAAATGTGTATTTTCAGCGCTTCCGACAAAACATCTCTTGTTTCCTGCGAAGTTCTCGGATGCTAAAATACCTCAGTGAAGTTTATATGCATCCATTCAATTAATTGTGTGTGAACGCTTTATGTATTATTATCAAATTTAAAAAAACTGATTAAGTGGCGGAGTGATAGGTTCGCGCTAACTCGTGCTAATGATCTGAAAAAAAATATGCCGAAGAGAGAGAGAGAGAGAGAGATAAATAGAGAGGAAAAGCAGGGAGGTTAACCAAGCTTGACTCAGTTGGCTACCCTACACTTGGGGTGGGGGAAAAGGAGAATAATAGAATGGAAAGAGACAGAAAAGAAGAGGAGTAAGAAAGAAAAGCATAAATAGTCAGCTCGAGACTACACAGCACGGCCTCGTACAGTTCTTTCACAAACGGTCGTGAAGTTTGGTGGTCCTTAAAAAGTACAAGAGGGCTTTCGTGGCTTTGCGCGTATTGGAAGCCGTCGGCCAAGGTACCAGGATCTTCTCTTCTGTAAGCGGCCGTGAATCCAGCTGACAGAGCTTGGCTTCCATAATACGTCGTTCGAACTGGTTTGGAAACGCTTACGTGCACAACTAATGTTCAATGTACACCGAGGAGTTGGTGCATACTCACCACCTAACCTTTTTTCCCCTTGTTTGCAGGGACCGTATTCGCACGTCCATCAATGTCCTCGGCGACGCCTTTGGCGCGGGGATCGTGTATCACCTGTCCAAGGGGGAGCTGGACAAGATAGACGCCGAACACGCCCGGCTCGAGCTCGAGATGGGCGAGGCCGGCCGCAAGGGCTCCTACATGCGGAGGCCCAGCGGTATCGCGGCCCCGGGATCCTCGGCGCCGCCGGACTACGGGGCGAATCCCGGAGGCCAGAACTTCGTCGAAGGAAACAGCGAAACGCAGATCTAAGCAGCGGCCGAGGAAAGGCCGCGAAAAAATGGCGGAACGGGCCATGTTTCGAGTTCGGGCCAACTTACACGCCTTCCTGTTCCCTCCTGGGTGCCCCCGATAGAAGCCGCCGGGACGTCATCCGAGGATTGCGCAACGGTGGCAACTTACACCCTTCAGAAAAAACGTTAGCCTTCTCTACACGCGAGCTTTCTTTCCGCGACACTGACTGTCGTAATGGAGTATTTCGCCGCAGCGCCACCGTTCCGGTCTTCACTAATCTTCACCGGTCTTCACCGGTCTTCACCCGTCTTCACCGGTCTTCACCGGTCTTCACCGGAACCGCCTTCTTGCCCACTAGACTGCTTACGCGGAAACGGCTGCAGGTGGTGTCGGTGACCGTTAAACGGTAACGCTGCGTTGAAATCTCCCCATCTTTGCGCGTGCTTTCCATCGAGACCCTGTGAAAGCGAACGACTTTTTTTGTTTTGTAGATATATATGCGCAAGCTGTGCAAGCTTTAGCAGGCGCGAAAAGACACACGCAGATGCATACACAGGGTTGAAGCAAACACGTCACGACAATGGCTGTGCAAAGAAAGCTCGCCTTTATGAGGGTGCAACTTTCGGGAGTGCTTCCGCTCTCTCTGTCGGAGGACTCCGAAAGAAAAAAAAAACCTGGCTGACAAGCCGAAGCGCCGCAGTAGCTTGAGTTCTTGCTGCACGATGGCGTTATTCGAGTGTTCGGTGTGCCCTGTTGAGGTGAGAGCTCGGGGACACTATGAAGATCGCCGCTCGTAGCGGTTATCCGTCGTACGTAGCCCGAAGTGACTGGCACAAATTTTGAAAACGTTCGAAAAAAATGAACACTATAAAACAGTGCCTCACCCGTAACACCGAATTGAGCTCAACATAACTTGAAATTTGGTGAGATGGTGCACAGTTGACGGGAACTTTGAGAGCCAAAAAAAAAACGCACATTTTCAAGGCAAGAGGACAGGACAGGTCCTGTCCTCTCGTCTTGTAAATGTCTGTGTTTTGTGCTTAAATTTGCCGTCAACCCAATTGAGGTCAGGAGTAGTGGTGGTAAAAGGAACATTACTCATTTCAAGGCAAATGAAGTTTTGTGACAGAAGCTAAAGCAATATGATGCGACACAGTTTTCCCATAAACGTTTTTCAAGACATTGGATTGGTTCCTATCAAATTACTTTTCAGTCTTTTTTTTTGTTCTTGTTTTGTTATGCAGAGATTTCATAGACTAAGAAGCCCTTGCCATTTACTGGATTAATTATTTAGGCAGTCTAGTTCCAACGGAAAGCTGTGGCTGCTGTACCAAGGACTGCATTCAATGTTAGCGTAAACGTTTTGATACGTGGTATTTGTGGCATCCGTTTACACCGTGACGAAGTTAGTCACCAACTTGCAAAGCCTATTTTTTCGTTAAGCAGAGTTACATCTTCACGATAAATTGGCGTTACATCGTCCAAAGTGAAGTCACTGCCTTCGTGCCACTCAGTAACATTGTCAGTTCAGAACAATGTCGACTAACGGGACAGCCCAACACTTGTAACAAGTATTGTCACTTCAGGCTTAAGCCTCTACGGAAAGCGCGTTAGCAGATCTGCGCTGACTGTGCGTCATCGTAACGTCAGCCTCTTCATCGTTGCTCTCTCTTTGTGTCTCACTCCCTTTTTTCTTGACCTTCTTTTGTACGTATGTACTTTTTCCTCACTTACGGAACTGACAGAACAACTCGTGTTGTCCCCTTTGCCAAAATTCCATCGCATATCTGTTAGAAGTCGTTAAGCTTCATCGTATATGCGTGTCGTCGCGGGTTTCATCCCCAGGTTCGAATGAAGCAGCTTATCTTATCAAGGCCTTTCCTGCGACCGATGCTCTCCTACCGTCACGACTACTGCACGAGAGTACTGCCCACCACAGCAGCAGGTCTTGTGCAGCTATCTAAAGCATCATAACATACACTCACTGCATTCGACTTGTATCGGCCCCTTTCCGGTGGTTCTCATCCAGCCGCCATCATTTCGTTACAGTTACTTCCATCTTTCTTCCGAACAGCGCTTCAGCTTCAGCACACGCCACTTTTTATGTGAAGATGTCATGCCCAACTAATCACCGCCGCAATCTGAGGAGCATGTTAAACCTATCGTCGCTCTCGCATCGTATATGCCTTGTCACATAGGTCGACATTTTCAGTCCCATACTCATACGAGCCTTTACCGAACCGCCCAGCCGTTGCATCATTCGGGAGAGTTCCTGCATGCTTCAAGGAAGTACACCACCGCATCAATGTTTCACAACATGCGCGTTTACCAGAGTTCAAGAATGCGATGCTCAGCAATGGTTTAGCAGGCTCGCCCCATGGAAACTACCATTCGAAAGGCACGCGTTAGGCGTTGTACAGCTAATTGTTGTACGCGACCTTTTTGAGCGTTCCCACGGCCAGATGCACATGTCTAATGTTCGAAAAAGCGCATGTCCAGGCGAGACCTTGCATTCCCGGTAGAATGGTGCGTGCATGGTTGCATATTGTACATGTTTCGTTTTCTCACGTAGTTTGAAACCCACTGAGCTAGTCGAGGCCCTCCTCTTTTCGGAGTTTCTCAAAATAAAGAAGATTCCGGAGGATCCGAGCGTCCCCCAGCAGTGACAGGTGGACCGGGGTCTTACCCCTGCGAAGCGGGAACCGCCCGCGGTCTAGAAAGGCCGCACTTGACAAATCGAGATCGCAGCGCTACTTATAGAACACCTTGGGGCGCTGAGTGGGGGAGTCCCGAGGTCACAGCGGCGAATCCAATCGCCATTAGCGATAAAGCATCGTGATGGCCGAAATTTGAGCGTTTCCGCAGACACATTGAGCCTGACTGCAAATCTGGGCAGGTCATCTCTACTTTCACTCTGACATTATGCCTTGGATCATTTCTTGTGCAGTGAGAAATATTCGAGATATTCTACGCTGCCCAGGGTGAAATTTTCATGTATTCTTCTTGAATTCCTCACCTCTAAAGTACCCGGGTTTCGGTTCAAGGGACGTGCGCTGCTTGTGGGAGTGTGTGCGTCACGTCATTTATGACGGAGCTAAGAAACGAAAAAAAAAAACAGGCATATTTTTTTTTTTTTTGCTCAGTGCCATTGCTACACACTCTAGGCGGCACTTTTACACAAGCACAATTCAATTATGCGACCTTCTGGTATTAGGCCGGTAGTTGAATTACCGACTGTGACAACTCGCTACCTGGTGACTACGGGCTCTGACATGGCTCAAAGCACGTCTTATGAGAAGTGGGCTGTTTGTGTATTTCACGTTGCTCCTTTCTGTATACCACGAAGAAAAAAAAGGTATGAAACTTGAGCGCTGCCGCGTTTGTCAAGTATTCGAGAACTGCAGTGCGCCTGAGTTCCTATACCCGGCATACCGGAAGCCAGCAGCTTGTGAGCACGCAAATGATGCAGCTTCCGCCCCTGTTCATCGCATCCGGTACTTTTCTGTCACACAGCTCACCCGTGTAACGTAACGTGGAGCAGGCTATCGCAAGCTCAGCGACCGAGAAACCCCGCCCAGTAACTTCCTGGCCAACTTCCAAATACCAGATACGGCCGCTCGTCATCCGTGCGAGGACGAGTTTGTTTTTCGTCGGATGACCTTCAAAACAACGTTTTCAGCTTGAACCGTTCCGTGGCGTACAAGGTCATATCTCGCAGTTTCGTATTATTTTACGTGCTTATCTTCCGTTCCTTTTTTTTTTTTCTTTCGTTCTTCAAGGACGACTTACGTGGCACCCTGCAAAAGATGTCGGTGCAGTCATGTAGGGCGAAAGCGTCCCGAGTATCGTGATACTTTCACGCTTACGCCATACCATAGCTCGTCTGTCAAACGATGTTATAGTAATCATTCCGCTTGACAGTGATTGTGAGCATTTAAATACCAAAGTGGTGCTTTTCAATGTCATCAATTCCAAATGAGACTAAAGGAGGCTTAACACAAGGGCAGGCATACGACAAGGCAAACACGCGTCATTGGTTATTATTACGAAATGTCCCATACTGAGGGGGGAGGGGAGTGTTATGGCGCCGACGAGGACCCGTTGACCACCTTTCATGAGTTGTGTTCACACTGTCGATTACGTGGGAAATCGTTTCCGGATCCGAACAGAGAGCTAACAAGGAGACGGCCCTCCGACTCCTCCAAACTAGCTTCTTTCCGTCACCGGCCACTATGGCGCTGTATGCGTACATTTCTCCTAACTGCTCGGCATGCGATCAGCTCGCCACCTTCCCTCATTTCATGTGGCGTTTCAACAAGAAGGCATCACGTAGGCGAGACAGACTTTTCAGAACGTATCGCAAGTCCACAACTTGCGAAACAACTCCGGGTGGTCCATGGAGTCTGTGAAGAGATCGGTACATTTGGTCCCCGACCCCGTCGCAGGTGAAGCCCTCGGTGGGTTTTTAGGAACCTTCTTCCCAAAACGCAAATAAAGTTCATCTGTCTGTCTCTCTGTTCTTTTAAAGAGTCAGACTTGTTAGTTATCACTGTGATCAATTATTTCTGTGCTATAGTTGCTCCTGGCTTTCTGACCGAAACTCTCCCAAGTTCTCACATCAGAATTCACGCCGGTATGTGTTGGAGAACATGAAACTTGTGTTCAGTGATTGGCGCTTTAAGAACTTCACTGTAGCACCAAGTTTTAGCCGAGTAACCAGACATGAATGAGCACAAACTGTCAGTAGAGGCCTCTGCGTGGTCGCTCAAAAAAAAAAATACTTCCTTTCAAAACTGTTACAACAAGTTGGTGTTCGCTCATTTCCACGCCGAGCATTAGACATTTGTATTCTTGAGTATAGTAGTGCAGGCAAAAACTCTCAAAAATTTTCAGGAGTCGTATTTCTAATGACGTTCCCTCTGACTTTACACAGCCGCATGCTGCGTGTTTTTTTTTAATTTTTTTTCTCGTGTGATAGCTTCGTGAATATCTTTGAACAGTCAGTGTTCAATTTCAGGTTAGTACGTTCCCACCTCGTACAATATTACTTCCAGTTGGATTTGCGTGAATAATCATTTTTCTTGGGTGCTATTAAGTCACCTTGACGAACGATCTTATTTGTACTATATTAAAAAACGGTAACTTCGTGCAGTGAAGAGAACTTTGAGGGAAAGAAGGTGTTGTGCAGGGATTGTTGGTACATTTGAACTTCGTGTGAACTGCGCTAGTACGGTACAAATAAGGTAAGAAATACCTGATAATTTTTCCTCGCGTTTGTATTTTTTTTGTACCATCCTCGCGCAGTTCATCGACAGTCGTAACTTTGAGGATAATCGCGTCGATTCAAGGCATCATTACCTTTGCTCATTTAAACAAAAAACATACAGAAAAACACTTGTCCTTTGTCACAAAACGTGTTTGCTGTTTACAGTCACCGCTTCGGGCGACCCTTTACGTCATGCTGTTATTGCTTCAAAGTGGTAATCCGGCTCCTACACGAAAACCATCACTTCATCGTCATTTAGTATAAAGTCATCACCACTCATTGTATGTGCTACCTTTAGTCCTATGTATCAATCGCCTACGACCTCTGTTTTTTTTTTTAATACAAGTATGCAGTCGATGCATATGGATGTGTTTTCGTAACCGGTGTGTCTTACAAGATTGTACTTGAATGCTTGTATGGATGAGGTGCTCTCGTCAGAGTGTTACCAGTCAAGTTTTAATTGCTTGCAATCACTGCATGTTTTGTAGTGTACAATTACGTTTTATAAGTCCTTCGCGTGTACTAATGCAATTTATTGAGCAAGACATTTTATTAGAATATAAGGCATTGTCATTTCTTTTTTTTGCGTGTGTGTGGTCTATTTCAGGATAACTTGTATAGCTTACACTTCAAGATAAATTAGTTCGTTTTGACGGTATACTTTTATCAGAATACAATTCATTCGGTGTATTTAGCTCTGCAATCTATGCTACTGAACACTAACAGAACTGTAGAACGAATGAACCCCCATTAGCGAGGCGCTGTTAATGATTATTAGTTGTAGAAAACGTTTTACGCCGTACCACCGCGTGATGTAGTTAGTGCTACCCGCAAGTACACATATATGTCATAACATTTCTATCATCTTTCCGGTGTGGGTTTATTTCATCCTAGTATGTTTGTACTTTCTATTATAGTTCGCAAGGAACATTAAACAAAAGTACAGGCGACGGAAGTACCCTCAGGTTTGCGCAAGCATACAAGATAAAACCTATTTTTGCATAATTCACAAAAATTTTCATAATTCGTATTTCTATTTTAACAACATGCCACTTAACTTTATGCATAGCAAGGATCAGCAACTGCTATCTTGCAGCACACGAACCATCTTTTTTTTTACTCGTTTTCTCTTGACAACTGCCTTAAAATGTAGTCATCAAAGTACCATGTTTTATTGCAGAGAATCATCCGCTTTGGTTTCGTTGTGTTCTTGTGTGTGTGTGTTTATTTTGTTGCATAGTTCTACCTACATCATTCTGTACGCAACGGAAAAATTAAAGCGATTTATTGAATTAAACAATAAAAAAAGCTATTTGTTTTGTTCCTTCTGTTCTCTTTAGTTTCCTTTCTCTATGGACATTGCGTCTGTTCTCAAGTACACAGCAATATACACCAGAGTTCACAACATTCACGTTTCACTTCCCAGTGTGAACTAAACAAATTAAAAAACAGCTCTAGTCCAGACACCCTTGCATTAGCATGGTTTCGGTACTCATATGAGGGCATGCACATGAACGAAAAAGTATTCACTCTTGTGTATCAGTACCTTGAAGATAATGCTTGCCTGCGCAAAATCTAGATTCGTGTATCTTCCTGCACATTTTGTGCAGTTATCAGTCAAGGCAGGATGAAACAACCACTTCATAAAAAAAAGTTAATTTCGTCTCGCTACGTTAATTTACAGTGGCATGATTTGATGTTCTCTGTCTGCAGCCCATTCTAGGACTCCATGAGATGGAGGAGGGAATATGTGCTCTAAGGAGTCAAAGTACTCATTGCTTGCAGCAAGTTTGTACCCTTCGGTACAGCGTCTCTAATGATTATATGACAACTTTGGGACGTTAAATGGAACAATTTTTATTCCAACATTTATAGGTGTACACCCTTCTGTTCTTCAACACCCTCACGAACGGCATAATAACACCCTTTTGCCAGTTACACCCTTCTCTGAGGGTGTACCAGCAAAGAAAAGGGTGTTACATTCATTCAAAAAAGGTGTAAATCTTGACAACACCCTTTTTACACCCATAAGGGTGTAAAAATTTCACTGTGCATTACTGGACCATTGGCAAGAGCTTTGGGTTATTTGTCTGTAGGACCGCAGCAGACGGTGAACCGCGGCTCCGAGATGTACTCATTTCCCGTTAAACTACGCCTGCAAGTGTGTAGACGTGAGCGTGCTGTTTTGGTAGAGTTCACTGTAACGCGTATTCCTGCCTGGTTTTTTTTCTGAAAAGCCCAGTATGACCAACAAACACCCCCGAGATTCCATCCGTCGTTCTTAACATATCGAACCACTCGAAGCAAGCAGAATCAAGTGGTTGTGCACTTGATGTACTGCACGTATGGACAGTCAGCCGTCCACTGCTTCTCCGCTTCGGGTTTGTTCTTGGTCAGTGTCTAGAATAGATGTAGTATATTAGACGTCCACTCCCTGTGGCTCACTTGAATCTAAAGCCTCGAGCTTTGAGTGCAGCATTGATGGCGCGTCCTGAAGTGCGACGGTCTGCGCCTGAAGCGGGCTTTGCCCCAGGGTCGAGAACACTAGTGTCAGCCTCCCGATAAGACATTGAAATCGCGAGGAAAAGCCGGTGACGAGGTGTCAACCTTTCCAGTGTCATGGATAGATTCAATCCATAGAAAACTCGCTTTTTTTAGTGTTTTAAAGCTGTTCATTCATTATCGACGGTCATGCCCCGCCGCGGTGGTCTAGTAGCTAAGGTACTCGGCTGCTGACCCGCAGGTCGCGGGTTCAAATCCCGGCCGTGGCGGCTGCATTTCCGATGGAGGCGGAAATGTTGTAGGCCCGTGTGCTCAGATTTGGGTGCACGTTAAAGAACCCCAGGTGGTCGAAATTTCCGGAGCCCTCCACTACGGCGTCTCTCATAATCATATGGTGGTTTTGGGACGTTAAACCATACATATCAATCAAATCATTATCGACGGCCATTTTTACTGTGTGGATAAAGCCTAAAGAAAAGTTCTTTCACTTGTAGTCTTTCACAGCAATGTAGATATTTGTTAAGACTGCCACAATTCTTTCGCTGTGCATACATTAGAAGAATGTAAAGTGGACTGATATATTTAGTGGTTTTTATCGTCGCTGGGCGTGATTTGTATCATTTCTTGGGGAATCTTCAAACTATGGAGCCTCAAAATGAACTCTGCACACGTTAGGTGATTGCATGACCCGTACCAACTACTGCTTGCAGCCTTGATTGGTTAGGCCTTCTTCGCAACCTGTATCCCCCTCGGCGGTTATAGGGTTGGATGGAATGTAATATGTAGCGAAGAAGTTCTATTGAACTGCTGTGTTTTTCGCTACGCATATTTGATTATGGGAAAACAGCTTCTTTTACTCCATAAAAACACGTGCACCAGTTACACAACATCAAAAGTTTCTGTGTGTTTGTGTGTTTAGAAAAAGTGGTTAACGATTTAGAGTACTTAGGACTCTACTATGGGAGAGCTGAAAGCCGTCCCTTGGACCTATACAGTCTATGAAGTCAGGCTGGCAGCTAAGTCTTTTGGATCGTTTCTCTAGAAAAGAAGCGTAGTAGTTGTTTTACTTGCTTACGGCAGGGGCTAGGGACCATCATTCTTGGTGTATTTCGCCGAAATATTGCGCTGCGGTTCTGTGAAAACCGCCTACGTTTCTAAATAACCGCTCGTTTTCATGGAATCAACAGAAATCTGCGCTAGAAATGAACCTACACTGAGTGCCGAACAGCTTTAAGAAAACATACTTCTAACACAGAAACCAATAAAATTTGATGATAAATTACTGCTCAGCACATTTTATTGCCAGTGAGGTGAGTTACTCATCTAATATCGCGAGCGAGAAGTGGGCTATACTTTCGCATATTTGAGTCACTGAAGAAGTTTTATTGCTGCCGACTCCCTCGTGCTGTGTTGAATGACAAGATGTAAATGTTTTTGCCCCATCCCACCCCCGTGGTAGCTCGCTGGCACTAGAATAAACGAAGGTTGGTTTTCGGGACAGGAGGGAAGCGGCGGAGACCGCTGCAGCAAGTCTGTTGAACGCTTCGGGAGAAACACACATACAAACACTCAAACTAAAACAAACCTCTTGTCTTTCAAAGTCGACGTGCGTGTTGTGGATGTGTAAAGAGTTCGTGTACCGCCGCCTCAATGTGAAAAAAAGGCGGCAAAGAACTGTCTTGCGCTTTGGCTAGAGCCCTTTCTAGAAGCGAAAGCGCACTGCCTTGAAATCAGTCTTTCGAAGTTGGTATATAGATATATATATATATATATATATATATATATGTATACATACACATAGTGTACTCTATACATGCCTCTATTATATTGATATTGCCATGTCTGTCTTGCTTGGCGTATTACCGAGTGTTTCTGCGTGTACCCGGCACCTGTTATATGACCCCGAAGTGCAACGTAGATGCCACAGCATGTACAGCTCACCGAACTCGATCGGAACAGCTTTTCTCTTCGTGTTGGTTAACTGCGACGAATATTTAACGTTTTATCAGAGTTCAAACGTTCTCTGCACGAGATAAATGTGCAAGAGACCTTTGTTAGCTACTCCAGGCGAGGCGAAGGTATTTTGGTACAACTCACTGCCTCTGTCAGCGTATCTGTTCTTTTCTGAGAAAGCAGAGGCGGTGCCGAGAGGAGGCAGGGGAGTTTCGCTACACAGCCCCCTCCCCCCCACGCACACACAAACGCACACCAAATTACTGCCTGCGCTAGTGAGTAAGAAAAATAGGAGGAAAAGAACGGCAGGGAGGTTAACCAGCCTATAGGCAGCCGGTTTGCTACCCTGCGCATGGGAGGGGGATGCGGGAGATGAAAGATAGAGAGGAGAGAGGGAAGAGAGATAAACACAGCACATTAGGCAGCACACGCGCACACACTCAGTCGCTAGTGTTCCCAAAGAGTAGATACGGTCGAAACTCAACGCATACATTCTCCTGTATTCCCAGCCCCTAAAAAATAAAAAAACTCGATTGTAAAAATAAACCCACGGGATATGTTGGCGCCGCCCCTGTGACAACCGATTTGGTTTGAAAGTCGACCGGATTGAAAACAATAGTGTACAGGAACTAAGGACATGTTGCCATCACTGATTGCCTTTTATCCAAGTTATTTCTAAGGTTCCATATCACAGTCAAATTCCAGCATGTCATATCATACCGATGTCAATACCAGCAGTTAGAATGTGGCTGCAATGCAACCAATGTCAACTCTCATCATCTTACCGAGTGACGACGTTGTTTGCGCTTGAATCTGTTTCGCATAAGTTGTCCAAACAAACATAAGCCTGAAGAATACTGTGCGTTATTCTACACCTTGTGTACCATAAACAGCGTAAAATATTTGCTCGTTCTACACTTTAACACTTTTCGCACCTCGTGCATGAAAACACATATAAGCTCCCGGCCGAGCCATCTGTCCGTAGTGAAACTCTGACCTGGGCAATCAGGAGCAACCGGGCTCGCTTGCTCTACACGCTGAACATTTCAGCAAAGTTAACACTATTAATGTTGCAAGTTGGTGTTACAATGTCCTGAACTGAAAATAAAACTATTGCTCCTAACTCCCTCTTGGCGAAGTGATTGTCTGGCCCCTCGTAGCACTCTTGTACGTTTACAAGTACGGAGTACTTGTGAAATACTCGGAAGGCTTGGAGTTGTAAAGTGCGGAGTACTTAGAGTACACATCGCGCAGTACGGTCCCTGCATGGAGTACGGTAAGTGTACTCCACCGAGTAAGCGCAAGAACTCCCCTGTAGTGGAGTCAAAAAAGGCGTAACGCAACTCTTCTTTCAAAACGGAGCGCATAGCGACCATTTTCTTGCTTTTCTGGAATGTAGTGATGTCAAAAACAAAAGAATTGAGCATACGCTGTGTCTCACTGGTTGTGTTTGTTCTTGTCTCTGTATGTGCGAACCACGTGACCAATCAACCAATAAAGGAGTTCATATTTCTAAAGGACACAGCTGTTTGTACTTTGATTCTGCGTGGTGCCAAGTGTTTACGTGGCATGCACACAGCTCGTTGAGTGTGTAAACGTACGACCCATTGCACAAGCTCAGCAAGATGGAAGCAGTGCTTGTAAGTTGGCGATTGCATACACTGGTTCATAAGCCAGTATAGTCATCTGATTTATGATTACAACTGTAATGATGAACAGCTGCCTTCAGAATCACACTAGTAGCGTCCTATCTTTACAATATAAAAATGCAACATTGAATTCACGCACCCGACCCACATTTTCGTTAGTTCTGGGACGCATCTGATTGTTAAATTAGTCGATAATGTCACTTCACCGCATTTGCCTTTT